TGCCTCAACAATGCACACCAAAAAGGACACCGTAAAAAAGCCCGAACAAGGACACCATAAATAAACTAAGGTTTATTTACGGTGTCCTTGTTAGAGCTTTTGCGTATGCATAGGTGTGCGTATGTTAGTTAAATTTTTTGTCTCTCTGTGAGCCTCTTCTGAGAACCACAGAGTTTGGTAAACCTTACTATCAGTCAGTCTAAAAATTATTACAATAAGTTTTTAATTTTAAACCAAAATTTGGAGGTAACCCAAAGAATTTTATACCCACCATTAAGGAGTCACAAGCAAAATCCATGAGAAGGGTTAAGGAGATCCAGTATTAATCATCTTAGGCAGGAAACAATATAGGGTAGATTAGGGTAATATGAGCACGTTGGTAATATGAACATACTTAAAGATTTCTTAGATTTAAGCAGTGAAATTAAACTTACTATACATATGAATTCAAAAACTTACTTGAATTCACTTTATATGGTGATAATTTATATGCATTAATTAGCGGCTATTATCTAATTAAAACGCTGTTAAGTTTTTTTGCTTATTTAATTTATATCATTACTAATAAATAAATATGTGGCACGAGATTTTGTGCTAAATTAATTTTTTTATAAAGAAAAATATGTTTGCTAAAAATCCAATTCATTTTTGTTTGAAAAACTATGTATAGAAACATCAAGTTTTGACTTTATTTAAAGATGCTAATTTTGTGTACTATGAGCATGCTCATATTACCGAGTGTTTTTCATTAAAATTACCTAGTCTAAAGTCCTAAAATAGCAGTTTAATTGCTTTTTGAACAAAAACAAAACATACTCGGTGTAGTTAAGGCAATTTACAAATTATTCGAATTCTTTTATTTGGAATTAGCATGATTTTATCAGCGTATTTTGTCCAAACAAGAGCTTTAGAACTTATAATTTTTTTTGTTTCAAATTTTTTAATATTTAAAGAAACTTTTCTTTTTTATATATATAATTTTCAAAACCTTTTTATTACCCCTAATAGTGAATCTAAAAAACACCATTTTGGAATCATTGGATCACTTTCGCTCATCGGCGTTAACATGAATTTAGTTAAAATCTTTTGAAAAAGTGCGTTAACCCACTATAGATCTTAGTTCTAATTGGTTCTGACGTATTCTATCTATATATAGTTGTCAAAATACAATATTTTTGTCACTATTTGCAAAAATTACTAGAATTCCGAACAAGAAAAAGCTTGTAAATAAGAAAAGTTGCAAATAAACGATCAGAACAGGACATTTTTTTTTCTTCTTTATTATATTTTAAAACATCACGTTAATATTTCATCAAATTTACAAGCAAAATAAAAAAATATAAACAATTACAAGTAAAGATATTTAATATATATATATATATATATATATATATAAATATATATATATATATATATATATATATATATATATATATATATATATATATATATATATATATATATATATATATATATATATATATATATATATATATATATATATAAAGTTTACAAAAAATTTCTTAAAGATAATTTGACAGATAATATAATAGCAATATAGGCTAGCAATATAGATCGTAATTTTTTTTTTTTTAATTCATTTATTTATTTGTTCTATAATATTTTTCGATTTACAACTGAAATATTAAAAAATCGTATTATAATAATAAATATTATGGTATTTGCCGTTATGAGAAAGTAAGAAAATCTACAACGAAAAAATATAGAACATTCAGTCTGAATGATTCACGAAATATATATATAAAAACTTAGGGAGTGGGTAAAAAAATTATTTATTTTTTATTAATTAAAAGTATAAAAGTATATTATCAATAGACAAAATGATTTTCTTAAATTTTGTTTTAAATGAGTTATAAGTCCATTTATGAGAAAAGTCAAAATATTTCAAAACTATTTTATTTCAAAGAAAGACTCCTCGAAAAGAAACACAAGATTTACCAAAATTTGTATGCGAAAATTGTAGTCGAATAAAATTATCATTTCGTATATTGTACTTGTTATACTAGATATGAAAGGAAGAAAGAGAAACGTTGGTTTTACATTTATACATAAAATATAAAACATTATAAACGTTAAGCTGATATATATTTAAAGTATTCATTTCAAGTAAGAGAGACCTAGTATAAGTAAAGTGATCTTTAAAGTTTATAAGACGTGCAATGTGTTTCTGTTGACAATGAAGAGGTTCTAGTATACTTTCACTGACACTACCCCACGCAATATTATTGACCCCACGCAATTTTAGCGTAGTTAATATGACAATGAATAAATGAATAATATAATTGAATTAAAGTGTGCTTATTTAAGAAACTTTTAGATTTGTATAATATTCCTATTGTTCTATCAATATTGTTATTTAAATTTTTAACGTGATTTTTCAATTTAAGATTTTCATTAATATAAATGCCTAAAAATTTCATAATTTTTGTTCGCTTTATTTCAATATTGTCAACAAAAATAAGTGGCATAATACTTAGAATTAATTTTTTTTTGAAGTTAGGTAAGAAAGCATCCATTTATTTTTTTCTATATTAATCGATAGTTTGTTTGATTTAAATTAGTCAGAAATTTTAATAAGCTCAATGTTCATATTGCTAAATAATGTTGTAAGGTCATTGTTGGTTAAAAAAAGATTAGTGTCATCGGCAAACATAATTGCCATTTGAGGCTTTGTAGAAATCATTGATATATATTAGGAAAAGTAAAGGGACCTAGTATTGAGCCTTGTGGTACTCCACAAGTTATATCTATTAAGTTTGACGATAATGATGAATCTATTTGAATAAACTGTTTACGATTAGTTCAATAGTTCTTTAGTAATAATAAATCATTTCCAGTGATTCCATAATGTTCTCGTCTGTTATAAAAATATTCATGATCTATGGTATCGAAAGCTTTCGATAGATCTATGAAAATACTTAATGTGTATTGGGATGTTTCAAATGAATCAGCAATATTTCTTGTTAGTTGAAGTATTGCATGTTCAGCAGAACTATTATTTTTAAATCCATATCGGTTTATTATATAATATTTTGTTTTCTGATAAGTGATTATAAATTTTATTATATAATATTTTTTTTAGAATTTTTGAAAAAACTGGGAGAGCTGGAATCGGGTGATAATGACTGAGGTTTGTAAGTTCCCTTCTTTTAAAAATTGGGGTAACTCTAGCTATTTTGAGTTGGTCAGGAAATACTGCTTAGTTTATTAAGCACGAAAAGATCCTAAAGAAATTAATTATGTCATATGAACCAATAACAATGTTTCCGTTTACATTGTCTGGACCAATTACTTTATAAGACTTAAGCATTTTGAAAGCAATCTCAAAATCATCAAAAGAATCATGGCAAAAACTTTCAATTCATTTAAAGAAGATATTTCAGGAGAAATCTTTATTTGAATTGAATGAATTACTTATAGTTATTAAAATATGATGTTCATTTCACCTAAAAAATTATTTATTTGAAATCTCATTCAAATTTGGACTAGCAATTGTGATTTTAAGAAGATTTTTTTAAAAAAAAAAGAATCTTCGGTCTGGTTTTTTTCGCTACAAACATATTTTATGATACTGCAAAATTTATGATTTTAATTTTTTTCGCCTTTTCATAATTCACAGACCTGATCATTTAACGGAAATATATTGCAGTCAACAAAATTATACAGACGCTACTATATTTTAAAATTGCCTTTACTACACCGGTAGTGAAAATTTTTTGTTATTTTAAGAATACTAAATATTTTTCTGTAATTTAAATTCAAAAAGTTTGAACTTTTATTGTTTAAAGGCTTGAGTTAATGAAATAGAGAAAATAACGAAATAATTTTTTTTTTTGTTGCGGAAAACATAGTAATATCGTTTCATCAAAAAGTGGTTAAAAAATTAATCTTTTCATGATAAGTTGTTTTAATAACGAATCATTATATTTAAAAAATTAGTTCTAATCGTCTGGTATATATTTTTTTACTTAATTAATGTTATTTTTTAGAGCTAAATTGAAGTGCTCATATAACCAAGTGGTCTGGGCAATATGAGCACTTTAGCTACTTTTTTAAAACCTCTGTGTTTTTAAGAAAAAATTTTGGGTGCCCAAAGATCTAAGTGGATTATAAGCTCAAAGATCTAAGTGGATCCATTAAAATTGTTTATTCGCAAAAAATTTGATCCAACTTAGTTATTTTTAAAAGTATTCCAATTTTTGTTCAAGGTGCTCATTCTACCTTAATCTACCCTTACACAGATTTGCATCCACACAAGCCTAATAAATAAAAAAGAGATGAAAAAAAACAGAAGATCAACAGCAAAGACAACAAGGCTGATCAACAGAATTCTTCTGCTCCCTTAAACTTTTTTCGAGTATTTGAATTCTATAAACATCTGCCTAAGATGATTTATTATTACCAAGACAATGAAAAAAACCCATGGAATTACCATGGTTATTTGAAACACGTTTATACAGAAAGACCGTGGTATTTCCATGAAAAAATTATGGGTTTTCCTTAGTAAAACAACGAGTTTTACTAAGGAAAACCCAGTTTTACAATGAAAAAATCCATGGAAAGTTGTTTTAAATATCAATTGAAATTTCATGGTTAATCCATGGGTTTTCCATGGTAAAAAATCACACTTTATTTGCAAGTTTTTTGAAATCTAATGTTATTTCAATTGTCATATAAACCATAAAACGCAAATTTAATCATGCAACTTGCTAATATTATTGATTTCTTTTAATCTATGGGATCGCTTTTGTGCATTTAAATTAATAAACAAAGTAAAATTTAAATATTGTTGAATCCAATATGTATCTTTAAAAAAATAATAGCTACAACGCACTTAAAATATTAAATTTGACTTCATCATAATATTTAATTCATGTGTATGTATAAGCATACTGAAAATAAATAACCAAATTTAATTGCAGACCCAGGTAATCGTCAAATAAATTACCATTCACATTTTAATATTAATTAATGTTTTCAACACATAGTATCATGTCCATTTCACAAACCTAAACAATACATTATAGATTTAATATAAACATACTAATTAATTTTCTTTGCTTACTAATTTATTTATACTTATAATCATTATCTATTATAATTTACTTTATAATTACGTATCAACAACTTTTCGAATGTTCTACATAAATGTTGCCAAATGTTGGGTAACATTTGTATTGAAAAAAGTAGCAGTGAAAGTTGAAACACTGCAAAAAAAAAAGAGTTTGTGTAAATGATGCTAACAATAGTAAGAGTACAAAGTGATTTTATAGCAGCCTGAGCTAAACCTGAGTCAAAAGCTAATATTGCTTTCATTAGTGCAGTATCTGCAAATCTAGAGCAACAAAAAACAAAACCAAAAAAATTGTGGTTTTTGACTTAACTCTTCCAGACACCAAACAGCTGCAGAATCCATAGTATATGATAAAGAAATGTTATCTTGTTTAAACATTAATGATAAAGTTACAAGTACTCGTTTGTTAAAACCAAAATTGAAATTGGGCAATGTAAAGTCAATAGAATTTGACAATGTAGAAACAAGATTATTAGCAGCTGCAGCAAATCTTGCCCAAACAAATCACAGAAAACTGTAAATAACAATCTTGAAAAACATGGAAATCATAATAGGTCCTTCCAGTTCTTCATCTGCTGTGAAAAGGTCGGCTGCATCAATGTGTCTAGGACCCTTGAAATCAACGGGAAACTTAAACATCCGTTTGTGAATTTGAAAACTGCCCAAAGTACACGTTCCTCACCAATCAATCAGCAGTAGTATAAACAATAGCTCACTGTCAACCAAATTAAGCCAACAAGATGTTTTACCCAATCTTATTAATAATAATGAGCTACTGTCAAAACTAGCTAAAAGTGTTTCAACCGACCAAGTCGCATGTTATTACACTAACATCACATCACTAAACAACAAAATGACACAACTAATTACTTTGGCAAACTCACTAAAGCCAAACATAATTTCGATTTTCGAAACGTAGTTCGACAAAAATAAATGCACCTATCTAATAAATTGCAAACTATTCAATAAAAACAGATCCAGTCATGGTGGGGGATGTGCTATATATGTGGCAAAAGAGTTCAAAACTTTTGAGATTACCAACAAAACATTATGTAATACAAAGTTAGAGCAAGTATGGTGTGTTATTAGATTTAATAAATACAACCAAAAAAAATGTTGGAAAGTCACCTTTCCAAAATTTGTTAATTCAAGAGGTAATTGTCGCAATTAACTTGTATCATATATCAATTTGCAGGAACCTATTTGTAGCCAATGCTTATAAAGAGACATTCAGAAGATCAATATATAATTTTAGGAAATATACTCAAATCTAATTTTGAAACTACTCAAATCAAAATTTTGAACTGAGCAAAATGGGATTATCCATTTATCAACAAAAGTACTAATGATCATTATAACATATTCTTAAAAGAGTATAACCACCTAATAAACATTTGTATACCTATAAAATACTCTAAAAATCTAAAAATGCCACCGTGATTGAACAGATCACTAAAATATTTATTAAAAAAAATTAATAATTAATAATTATTTTAAAACTGTATTTGTAGAGGAATTAAATGAAGTACTGGCACTACATTTTGAGAATCGCACATCAGCAAATATTCCAACACTATCCATTAAAGATATTAGTAAACGTCTATTCAACTTGGACATTAAAAAAGTTCCAGGGGTTGATGGAGTTCACTTTTGGGCACTAAAAGCATGTTACGTAGATTTATTCAAGCCACCTTTTATGATGTTTTCAAGCTCTTTACATGAAGGAGTAATCCCTGACATGTGGAGACTAGCCAATGTGACACTGTTACCTAGGAGAGGTAATAATAGTAACCCGGCAAACTACCTCCCAGTTTCCTTGACTTCAATTCCATGTAAGATTTTGGAGCAAATCATGAAAGACACAGTTATGAATCATCTCTACTTAAACAAACTCATAGCCAAATAACAACACGGATTTGTTAGCAACAAAGATTGTGTTACTAAATTATTGGAAACATTATGTGAAGTCATAACATTACTCTCGAAAAAACTGTGGCATTTGACAAAGTGCCACATTTAAGTCTTGCTTAAAAACTACAAGCATATGATATAAATGGAAAACTATTAAAGTGGCTATTAAACTTTCTAGAAAACAGGTAACAACGTGTTGTACTTGGAGAAAGCATTTCAAATTCGGCCAATATCACCAGTAGCGTACTACAAGAAAGTGTGCTTGGGCCACTGTTGTTTTAAATTTACTTAAAGGATCTTCCATATGTCTTAAATTATTATTCCTGTAAGCTTTATGCTAATGATAGTAAATTAATAGTTAAGATATCAAATGAAGAAGTATCCCGAAAGTTTCAAAGAGAAATAGATTGTAATTTGGACAGACACTTGCCTTATGTAACTGAATGTTGATAAATGTAAAGTTATGCATTTCGGCTTTGGTAACCCTTAATTTAGTTACAATATATAATTTGGAACAACTAGTCATGCTTTAGTATTAACAGACTCTGAGTGTGACCTTGGTGTGACAATTGCATCAAACCACTATTGGAAAACGCATGCAACTTCTAAAGCTAACAGTATCTTGGAATGGAAGAAAAGCGCTTACCTGAATAGGGACATAAACCTCTAAAAAATTTATATGTAACGAACATTAAACTTCATCTAGAGTTTGATGCGCCTGCATGTAATGCCTACTCAAAAATAAAATTAAATGCATTGAGCTTGTTTAACATAGTGCTACGAAAGTCTCTCACTCGCTTAAAAAGTTTGATTATGAAAAAAGATTAAAAATTCTTAATCTAACAACTTTGAAGAACGCGTGTAGATTGCATTCAGCAGTACAAACTCGAGAATAAATTAGATCATGTTAACTGGTATACCGAACCAGAGACTATAGTTCCACAAGAAGAATATCGTAAACGCCTACATTGCGAAATTTTAAAAAACTGTGCACACCCACACTTACAGAGTTAACAGAGTTGTCAATAGAATAATTTAGAAAATGTAACAGTGTTTCAGAAGAATATTGGAAGTTTTAAGAACAGTTTAGACTGAAAGAACAATCATAATAAGATATAATAATTAACAATAACCGACACTAAGCCCCTGATCTGCTTATAGCAGAACATGTACTTATGTTCTGTTCCAAGAAGTTTACTCTTTGCAGTGTAATAATTATAATAATAATAATAATAACAACAATAGTAATAATAATAATAATAATAATAACAATAGTATAAATGTTACCAGTATATTAGTAAAATTTATATAGAACAAAGCAGCAGCAACTATACGATTACTTCTAAATTGTAAATTAAAAAAAGCTTACTTCTTCGTCCGATCTATCTGAAAGATGTAAAAGATTATTTCTATCACAAGTCAAATCTGCCTGCCTAAAATGCAACAATTTAAATAAAATGATAAAGTTTAAATAAAAGTATTTATGCATTTATTAATTAAATAAAACATTCAAAAATTTATTATATTTTTACTTTACTATTTAGAACATAATAGATATAATAAACATATAATTTATTAAGTATAGCAATTTAAAAACATAATAAAAAAAAAGTGTGTGCATAAATAAATTTATTTTCATAGAAACCCCCTTAATTGCGCTACTGTTAGACGTACTTCACATTAGTTAAAGTATAAACAAATAAAAATAATTGTATTATGTTAAATAATAGTGTATTATTTATAAATATTTATTTAAAGCAATGTTTATATAGCGTATTATTTATAAACAGCGTATTAGTGTATTATTTATTATACTACGATTATTTTTATTTGTTTATACGTAACTAATGTGAAGTGCAAGTCTAAAGTGAAAAAGAAATTAATTTATGAACGCACTTTTTTTATTTACTATGTTTTTACATTAATATACTATAAATATAAGCATATAAATTTATATGTTTATATTTAACTGTTAAGTTAAATCTTGAGCATTAATTAGCTTCCCTTGATATTTTGATATTTTTAAAACAATATCGTAGTTTTTCTTCTCCACACAGTTGTTCTTGGAACATCAATACAAGAAGAATCCCAAAAATTACATTATCTTTTGCAAAGATTACACATAACTTTCTCGTTAATTCAAACTCAACTCATCATTTTAATTAGACAGCTTTTGAACTATTTAAAAATATTAAATGCATATAAAAACTGACAATGTTATAAATGATATAAATTATTAACAACATCATATATATCGCCAGTCAAACCTGTCGGCTTATAATGTAGTAATTTAAACAAAATAATAAAGTAAAAATATTTTTTTTTTTTTTACACAAATTATAACATTATTTACATGTTCTAATAATTCTGCTATTTAATAGCAAAGAAAAAATATAAATATTCCTAATAGATCTGGTCGCTAACTAAATCTCTATTAGAATGGTCGCGTCAACAAAAAGACAAAAACAACTTGACAGAACTAAAATTGAATAAAACATTTATTATGAAATAAAGTGTTTTAAAACTTAATAAACAATTACCATACATACAGTAAAGTATTTTACCTTCAGACATTTTTAAGGCCAAGACATTATGACTCAATAACAAGACCAAGAATAAGACCAAGACTCCAAGCTTCAAGATTAAGGCCAAAATAGCTAAATGAAGGATATCTGCCAATATTTTTAGTTGGATTTCTCTAATTTTTCACAAATGTTTCCCTATCCACTACCTGTTTTCACTGAATAACTTCAAAGTTACCCAAACTTCAGAAATATTAGACTTAGATTCTTATAGCAAAATACTCTTCAATTGAAAATATATAAACATTAATGCGTATTTAAAGTATCAGAAGTTTATAAAACTATCTGCTCAAAAAAATTTTTTATTACGTGCTCAATGCACAATCTCCTTAAGTTATGTAAATTTGATGAAGCCATTTTCCGTGATTTCTTCCTGATTTTTTCAAAATTTAACTCGATTCTCTAATTACTCCTTGTTTTTTTTTTGAAGATATTTGAGTTCCTCGACTTTTTCCTATTTTTTTCTAATTTTCCTGATCTGGCAGACACCCTGAAATATGAGTTTTGATATATTTCGGGAAAAAGATTTAAGACTAAAGAGCTGTAACTCTGATAATATCACATTATGATGCATTATAAAATGCATACATTTATCATATTCTAGCTATTGCAAGTATGTCTAGTTGTTTATGTCTAGTTGTTTAGTTTGAATTTAAATGTGATGCATTATAAAAAACATATATATCATAATCTTATAATTAGAGAAAAACAGAAGAACGACAAAAGTATTATTTATCCATGTTAGAAATGATTGGAAATCTTCAAGTTACAAGGTCGTCTTTAAACGGGTAAGCAAAAGATACTATGACTTAAAATGAGGTTTTGATTTTTCCAAAAAACGGAAACCAGATATCATACTGATTTAAGGAGTAAATGTAAGAAAGTGCTATATCGACTGATTTATACTTGCCCCAACCTAACTCTCAGGCAATGTTGCAGCATTCATTTGCATGTTTTACCTAAGTTTAAATTTAAACTGTAAATTTAAATTAATAACTAGTTTCAATGTTTTATATAAATGATAAAAACCGAGCTACTTAGTTAAAAAAAAAGAAATGTTTTGGCATCTTTTAAAAAATTTAAACGCGTATTTGTAAAACCCATGGTACACCATGAGCTTTTTAAAAAAAACCATGGTTCACCGATTGAAACTCCGCGGGATTTCAATTTCCATGGAAATTCCATTCAATTTCAATTTCCATAAAAATTCTTTGGGGTTTCAATTTTCATGAAAATTCCATTGGATTTCAATTTCCATGAAAATTCCATGGGATTTCAATTTCCATGAAAATTCTATGAAATTTCAGGTGTGATAGTCCTTTGTAGACATGAAACCTTTCTATTATTAAACGTTAAATTTTTCTACATTTTCAATGAATATGAGAAGTTGTGGAGCTTTAGTTATAGATTTTAAAAACTTAAACATATATTAAAGGTTGGAATAATAATAAACAAATAAATTTTCTACTTATTGAATAATAAATGAAGCAAAATTTAAATAGAGCAAGAAAAATAAAACAAAAATGACAATGATTTGGAAATGAGTGTAAAAACTATAAAGAAATAAAATTTTATTACAAATTTTTGAGATTTAAAGATATTAACAACTATTTTTATTGACGTGTTTTTAATGACGTGTTTTGTTGAAATGTTTTTATTGACGTGTTTTAGCGTTTATTGATAAAATGTTTATTTGCAATTTTCTCTGTTTAAAAATTTAAGGCCCCCGTCAAAATTGCCGACAAACCTTTTTGGGAAAGAATTCCAGGGAAAGATTATTAAATAAATTAGAATTAATAAAAGATAATAATTAATAATTAAAGAATTATTAAATAATAATAATAAATTAGACTCACTTGAATAAATTTTTTTCCCGGTTGTATTAGCTGTTTTAGTTCCATATTGTTGAACATTTGACTTTGATCGCAGAAAATCTGACGTGATATTTGTTTTTTATAAAATCTGAACAACTTAAAACACTCTTTTAACTTTATATAAAGATCCGATAAAAATTTTAATCAACTTTTTTCCCGTCAAAGTTAATGTTTAACATAGAAAGAGTTTCTTCCTGAAAAGTATAAATAAAATTTAAATTACAAGTTTAGATACGATAAATTTTCAAAAAATAAATAAATAAATAAGATTTCAATATACGAGACATTGTGGTCAACATGTACGCGTGATCACAACGCTTGTGCTTTTCGAGCCTTTTACGACGCATATTTATACTAGCCTGCTAACTAATCAACCTAATTAAGAAATTAGCTAACCAGAATAAGAAATTAAAAGTTTTAATACTTTTTTTTTTGACAAAATGTAAAAACTTTTAACAAGTTTTTATTAAATTAAGTAAAGCGTTTGAAAATGTTTTAAAATAAGAGAGTTGCCTAAGGGGTTTGGATCCAAATATTAGATTTTGAATCGATGTAATTGCAGTAATTAGTTAAAAAAGTTCCATTTGTTATTTGAATCATCTTTTAAAATTTTTGAGTTTTTTCTGTAGATAAAAGATTTTAACACTCAAAATAAATATACTACATGCCGGATGAATTTTCAAACTTAGAAAAACTATGCTATAAGCATGGAGAAGTTTTAAACATAAATAGGTCTGGGAAAGAAAAAAGAAATAACGGAGCAAAAATAAAAAACAACTTATTTAGTTTATAATTTTATTTGCAATTTTTAAAATAAAAATCTTAAAAATTATATTAGAAACTATGATACCTTTATAGAAAAGAAGCCTTGGCGCAGCGTTTAGAGAACAGCTTGAGAAATCAAGAGGTATAAAGTTTGATGCCTACTAATTATATCAATAGCGGTAAAAGAAGCAGCTCAAAATTTTTTGCACCTCAACACACACACACACACCCGCACACACAAAATCTTTTTTTTTAAATTGTTTACAAGATTTTATTTAAAGATTGATTACGTTTTCTATTGATTAGTTAATTATTCCGTTGACCATCCTGATGTCATAGTAGCTCTTTTTTTCGAAGAAAAACTCAATAATAAAGTCCTAACTTTTATTTAACATTCGTGACAGAACCATCAAACAACGAAGCTTCGTCAACTCCACTTAATGTAAGATTATATTTGACAATAATGATTTCGCAATTACAAAATGGGGTTTCCCATATAGTTACGAAACAAAAGAAATCAGAATATATTATAAAATTCTAAGAAAACAATTTCAAAAAAAAAAATTAAAATGAATTTTTTAAAAACTTATTCAAATATAGAAGTCAGCTAAAAATAAGGTAAGAAATTAAAAATTGTCAATTATTTAAATCATATATCATATTTCATCAAATTTAGTTGAAAATTAGTAGAAATTAACAAATATCAATAATTTAAAAAATGTATCATATTTTATAAAACTTAGTTATTATACATTTAACAGTTATGTAAAATCTTATGAAACATTAACGCGAGATGGTTTTATACATTATTATTATTATTATATATTATCATTACATTATATATATATATTATTTACAGCGATAACAAAATAAGGGAAGTACGAGGTTTAAACTTAGAAAAATAATCTCGATCAAAATTTTCAGTTTTGTAAGGAATAGCAAAAGAAATTGTAGAAAAAATTTAAATTCGTTTGAGTAACTTAAATAAAAATATAAAAGTATATACTTCATTTCATGTTTTTTAAAGTGAAGCCCATCGTGTATTTTTAGAGCGGGTTCAAAATAAATTATTTAAGCTCAATAGAGTTTTTGTGGAACTCTAATTTTTTAAAACGTGCTTGTATAATCATAATGTGTTTTAGGCCATGTTAGATCGTCATTTTTATAAAATATCTAAATTTAAAGAAAACAACGTAGTAAGAAATTTGAGAGCTGTTTGGACAGTCGAATATTTTGTAACATTTGCGTCAAGTAATTACGCGATCTGTAATATTGCACAATTTTTAACTTATAGTGGTTTTATGATAGCAAAATGTGTTTTTGTAACTTGCATCCAAATAAACCCAACTTAATTACACACACACACGCACGCACAAAATCTAATCACTGATTTTAAGTCGTAAAGTTATTTTACTCGATAATAGTCTTCTTTTTAAAGAAATAATGTCTTTTACACTTTCAACATTGAAAATAAATTGCATCATCAACTTTCAACATTGAAAATAATTTGTATCATCAACTTGAATCATCTTTTTAAACAACAATAAATTTAAAAAGTAGTAGTTGTGAGGTTGGGTGTTGTGTCAGTTAAAAATTTAGTTTATGAGAGAAAGTGGTCCCAAAAACCCACATTCAGAGCCCCTGACTTTATAAATTGGTAAACATTAGATTGCAAAGCTAATAGTATCAAGTTTTAGTATGATGTAAAACATCAACGAGGTATAATAGACTTGCTAGAGGAATAACGAAGCTGAAAATCGTTTAAAATTGCAGTACAGTCTTAGTAGTATTATTATTCCAGCGGCTAGCCAAAATGGCGCTTTTGCGTTAAAAACCTATGAAAGTTGTAACCTAGAAAGCTAAATCAAAATCGATTACTTTATTAAAATTTGACTGGATATGTTACTATTTGTTTGAACCTTCGCTATTGCTTCCCCATATAGCTAGGTTTGTTACCTTCTTAAAAAACGTTTTTTAGCAAGGAACTAATATTTCTTTTTATTTTTACGTTGTAGTATTTTTTTATTTTTTTTTATTTTTTATTTATATTTATTTTACTTTTATTTAATTTAAAATATATTTATGCATTGTAGTAATTTTATTTTGCGTTCCAGTATTTTTGCTAAATTTAAAAACAAATTGATATATTTTAAATATTGAGGAATAAATTTTTTGTAAATACGGCAAAAAATATTACCAATTCTTATCTAGACAATTATCAATTCAATTCTAATCTAGAAATTTATCATTAGTCTTTCCTTATAAGTCTACATTATAACTCTTCGAAAATAGATAGACCATAAAGAAAGGAAAAAAAGAATAAATTAACCCTTTTCTTTTCAAAACTTGAAAAAAAAAACGAAAAAATTTTATAAAAAAAAAAAAAATTTAATTTTCTACACGCGACTTTTTGTTAAAGTTAATTTTTAACATCTTAAATCGAATCAATGACATATTATATAAACTAACCTCAATCAGCCGCTTTTGCCCTTTTTATAAATGGCAGATTAAATTTGTAAACAAATATTATTTATCTTTTCTTTTTTTAAATTAAATAAATATATTTTAAATAAAAATACTTATTTTTATTTATGTGTTAACTATATTTTATAAATATAATCCGAAAAAATGAAGCCGCTTTTTTTTTGGTTTATTTATTAAGAACCAAAAAAAAAGTCGATTCATTTTTCTTCCAATAAAATCCCGCAAGTTAAATATCTAGTTTATTTAATATATCATTGGAATGAGTATTCTTTAAGCTTCTTAAATATTAACTGAAAGAAAAATATTTAGTCAAACTGTTTAATTCATTTATTTAAATTTTTATTGCAAAGTCATCTTTATTTAAGTAATAATATACTAAATAAATAAATACTTAGAAAGATAGATGCATGATCAAAAAGAATAAATACTTAGAAAGATGCGAGTTGGTATGTGGTGCTACTAAAGTCACATTTACCTTTTTTTTCGGCTAGTTGGACATATACTTTTAATAGCTGATATGTTTAGTTAAATGGCCGTAAATAATAATCCCTATTATAAGTGTTTTATGAAACGATGCTCAAAAAGAATATTTCGTCATTGTATATATATAAATATAAATATATATATATATATATATATATATATATATATATATATATATATATATATATATATATATATATATATATGCATATAATTTATACTGCTGAGTCAGGTGAGCAGTGTGACGTCATACTGAAATAACCTGCTGTCGAGGGCTTGCAGGTTATTTCAGTATGACGTCTTTTTCTAAGAAACCCATATCGATGAAAAATAAATGGCTAAAAATCGTGTGATATAATGAAAAAAAATTAAATCTTTATGGTCCAGATGGCTTCAATTATTATTGGCATATAATTGGCTTACCAGCAAGAAAACTAAGTTACTCAAATGGCCAGCTCTCTCACCTGGTTTAATTCTCATTAAAAACATATGAGGCATTTTAGCAAGACATGTTTTTGTAAAAGGGAAACAATATTCAAACGAATTGAAAAAGGCAATTGTAAAATTGGCATAATTGTACTGCAAATTAAACAAAATGGCACAAATGTCTGCTAAGTAAACAAAGTAATAATAATAACTTCAAATTAAGATACAACATATCTTCAAACTTTGTTAAACAAAATTGAAATGAGGTTATAGTTTTGCACCACCATTTCTCTAAAATTTTCAAATCAATTAATGAAATAAATCCAGAACGTATTACAAATAAATTATTAACCAAGTTAGATAAGCAGTCATAACTAAATTATTTAACTGCTAAGCAGTGAATAATTTAGTTATGATCATTTATATGCGAGATCCTAAAATTTTTATAGAGTCTATAAATCTGCACCGCACTGTATTTACATTTGCTATTGTGGTAATGTTTGAGCATTTTATTAAAGTTATTGTTAAAGAATTTGTTGGAAAAAATAGAATAATAAAATCTCTTGAAAAAGCATTTGTATTTGTTATTTTTAATCGTTTATGTGAAACTTCTAAAATGTTCTATATTGAAAAAAGAAGAATAGAAAATTTACATATTCAATAATATATATATATATATATATATATATATATATATATATATATATATATATATATATATATATATATATATATATATATATATATATATATATATATATATATATATACATATATATATATATATATATATATATATATATATATATATATATATATATATATATATATATATATATATATATATATATATATATATATATATATATATATATATATATATATATATATATATATATATATATATATATATATATATATATATATATATATATATATATATAGATCAACGCATATTAAAAAAAAAATGTTATTTGCGATTGACTGCAATTATAACAAGAAGTAAAACATTTTATACCATTGCAGGATAATAATTCTCCTGAAAACTATCATTTTATTGTGTTATTTTTGGCTTTCTATTACTTTTTTAATTTAACTTTGTTATTGCGTAAAGGTTAAGTTCTAAAAACGGATTTTTTTTTCAGTAGCATAAGGCATTATGGATTTAATATTTGAAAAAACATTGCACAAATACAAATAGGTTTTGTGCAAACGTGAAATACTGATTGCCAAAACAAATATTTTTGTTTTGGGAATGATAAAAATGTTTTTCCCAAAACATTTCTAGTAAAAAGCATGTATTTTTAAAAATAAACAATTTCACAACACACTAGAACATATAAGTTGCGAAAATGCCTAAGTTGCATAAATGCCTAACTAAACCAAAGACCACGAAGAGAATAGAAAAGCTGTTTGTTTTTTGTGCCTTCAGTAGAGAAATTTAACAACTTTTCTAATTGAGAAAGCACAAAAAGTTCTCAAAGTTGAGCTGGATTTTTCTGATAACAGGATTCCTTTAGGTATTTGTCGTGTTGCCATCAGTAGAAAAGATGAAATTCAAACTCCTCCTCTTCCTAGCCTTTATAATTTTATTAGCATTTCACCTCATCAAGCTACCAGAAAATCTCCTTTTGATTGTTTGATCTGTCAAATTGCCAGAAATAAACTAAACATTGCTCATCCACTGTCAGCAAGTAAATCTAAGAACGAAGGAAGCATTGAAAAAATATGTTCAGACTGTTTTTCTGTGGTTGAGCGAGGACTACCCCACAATTGCACAAAAGGAACAATGCGACAAAATTTGGTTGCAGCTGCCTCAAAAGATGCAGTGGCTGCAGAGATGGTTGCAATTATGGTCATCTGAAACAAACCTCCTTCTCCTCATGGCACTGTCCGTCTCAGTCAAGCATAGGAAGGCAACAGATTTTAATTTGTTCCAGGTATGATACAGTTTTAAACTATAATAAGTATTAATCCCTTGTGTCTAATAGCATAGTCTTTTCTTAGGGCCATCTAGGGCAATAAAACTCTTTCCTGAGGAGAAAAAGCTAACAGCTATTGATATGCTCAAGGTTCAAAATGAAACTGGACTTTCTAACCGTGGCATGAAAAACTTGCATCATCACTAAATCAAGCCACTCCTCATCAGGTTGTTGAAAAAATATTTTGTGACAAGTTTGAGCCACTTGGAAAGACTATTGCAGAACAGTTCACTTCAAACCACATTCAAGACTCAAAAAAGAAAGATTCAACTAGGGTTGTTGTTCACTGCAAAGATGTGTATGATATAGTCAACCATGTTTCAAAAGTCAGAAATATTCCTGGAGTGCCATTGATCAAAGTGGGAATTGATGGTGAAGGTGGCTTTTTGAAAGTATCCTTGGGAGTTATTGAAGCAAACAGAGAGGATTCTTCTCCTCCTTCACATCGTGTTGCAAAAGATACAGGTGTGAAGTGCCAGTTATTAATTGTTGTTTCTGAAAAACTACTAGAGAGTTATGAAAGCATTACAAAGGAGTGGGTTAATTTTGAGAAAAGCAAAAGAGTTGAACATAGTTGTTCACAAACTAATTATTTGCTTAAACAATCAAAAACTCTTAATGGACTTTATCCCTCTTATTGAGCTACATCTTTTTCTTGGAGTAGTAAATCATCTCTACAAAAAAATTGTGTCAAACATGGCCTGATGCTAATCAATGGCCTGCTACACGGAACAGCCTTTTCATAGGGGTCAATTTGCTGGAAATGGTTGTCAAAAGCTATTGAGGCATACAATTGTTCAACAAAATCTGGTTGAACAAAGCTCTTAATTTTTTTTTTTTTTTTTTTTTTACAATTTTTTTTATTTATTTCCTTTGCAGTTTAATAAAATTTACAATAAAAAAGATTGTACACATATAATAAATGGCTAGAGCAAGAAGAAGACGTATCTTGTCTTATCGCCGAGCCCCGTTTACATTGTCGCCATCAGTTTATGTAACAAGTTAAAATTAAAAGTTAAAAATTTACAGGTTGAAGAATATATAGTAAAACACAGTATATCAAAATTAGTAATTCGTATAATAAGATATATATTTTTTTGTTTAGTTAATTGTTTTTCTTTTTTATAAGAAGAAAATAAGAAACAAATCATGTCAGAAATAAGTGAGTAATGATGACTTTTTCAGTTTAATTATTTTAGGTACTTATTTAAAAAAAAATAGGTGCTTATGTAAAAAAACAATTTTCTATTTTGAATTGTTCTAGTGAGAAGTTTAGAATTTTTTAAAAAACTTTTCCATATAAATAGTCCAAGATATTGAATTTGAAACGAACTGAGTTTTAAATAAGATCTTGGAACAACAAAATTATTAGTTTAACACTTTGTGGGGTATTTATAAGTAATTTCGGTGAAGTAAGAGTGAAATATATTGGAGAAATAAATATATTAACCATATTTTGACTTGAACATTAAAAGCAAAACTTAGTATATGTTAAGTTTATAAACATTGAGCGCATTAAGTTCCATTAAAAGAGATTCACCATTAACAGTTTTTTTTACACCAAATATAATT